CCCCTTCTTCTTGAACATCCACCTACCCGAGAGACATCATAGCAGTAAATGGCATGTCATGAGAAGTCGCCCATATTCAGACTACCAGAATGACACCCAGCCCCTCTTTTTCTCTTTTTTGAAAAGTAGGTTTTAAGAATTGAGATATAGTAATATTTGTACTATTTAACTCTGTCAGATTCAGTTGTATGCTATTTCTTTGGATGGGGGTGATTAGTACTGCTTTACCTTCTCCTTAATTGACAAAGCTGGCTCTTTCATCTTTACTGTAACAATTACTGCAAAGTGGTTCCTTCATTTCCTCATGATATTTATCATATGTATACATTCCTTAATTTAAAATTTAGTGAACTTAAGTGTGGGGCAGTCTATCCTGAATGTGTAAGCTCTTGGTTGAAATGGTGTTGCCATCCCTTTTTTAATTTTTTTGATACAGGGTCTTGCTGTATACTTAGGTTGGCCTCGAACCACAGTGTGTAGCCCAGGCTAACCTCCAGCTCATTGCAATCCTTCTGCCTCAGCCTCCTGAGTTCTGGGATTACAGGACTCCCCATCGCCACACCCCCACCTGTCTTTTCCGTAATGTTCGTGATGCTCTATTTCCCAGTACTTGCTGAGAAACGTGTATAATATCTGAAAATGAGCTAGGATACTTTAATGGAGGAAATTATGTGCTGCTGACTTGATTTCCAGAGCATGTCATATTGCTGAGAAATCTCTTCCCAGTCTTGTTTTCCTGTATTCACTTTGCAAAGTAGAAACAAACTTTTGAGTGAGAAGGGCTCTAGATTTAGCCCAAGTTCCTCCTATTATGATTGAGCAAAATATTGGCCCAGTTGGGACAGAGTAAAAATAAGGACTAGACCTTTAGGTCTTCTGCTTTGGTATTGTTGGTATGTTTCTTGTGCCTCAAATGTGAAAGTCTCAATTCACTTGAATAAGAACTGTTTTTACTTTACTGTTTATATAAGCCACTGGTACCAAAAATAAAGGTGAACACTTTGGTGTGAGAGTACAAGATATGCTAATGTGTATAAACAGATACTTGATATGTCTAACAGTAATCCAGAGCTATTTAGTATAATGTTAAAATGGAGGAAATATTTGGGGAAGGGCAATTTAAGTGTGGAATTTGTAAAAAGAAAAATAACATCCCAGGTTTAATCATTACTTACAGTAAAGGTTAAGAAAAAATTATAATCTTTAGGTTTTGTCTGACTCCAAAATAAATCTAGATAGGTATATACTAAAACACTTAATGAAAACACTATAATTTTTCTGCAGTGTGTCCTGAGGTTATAGGCGGGTGTTTGAGGAGTACATGAGGGTTATTAGCCAGCGGTACCCAGACATCCGAATTGAAGGAGAGAATTACCTCCCTCAACCAATTTATAGGTAAGAAAATTTTAGTAACTAAAAAGAAAAATGATTTCTTGACTTTAATCTCTTGTGGAGTGGTTAATTAACTTGCCTTGGTTATTATTATTGTTGTTGTAATTGGTTATACTATACACAGAGAAAACTGCTTTATAAATAACAAGTTTATTTGATCCAAATATAGAAGGCTTTTCTGGAAGAAGTAATGAGATTTGTCTCAGGTACTCTTCTCTTTTTGTTGGGACAAATACCCAACACCCAAAATGAAGGAAAGAAAGGTTCATTTAGCTCACAGTTACTGGAGGTTTCAGTCCATATTCAGCTGGCTCCAAAGCAGAGTGGCACATGGCAGAGGGCAACCTTTCGTAGCAGCAGCAAAGAGCACGAGAGCAAATGGGAGAAGTAGAGGCCACAGTGGCATCAGAGAAGTCTGTCCTTTGTCTCTCTGATGTTACTTTCAGGTTATCCGCCCAAGGGGTTGTAGCACTCACTCACGCTCATGATCCCAGCAGTACTCACACCCATAATCCCAGCCTTGGATCATGAATTCACCAAACTGTAGAAGTCCACCTCATGACTGCATGGAGTCTTGGGGGTCACCTATACACAAACTGTAACAGGCTGTTTTGAGAGATGACAACTGTTTTCAAGATATGTTTTCTTTATTGTGGAAA